TTTTGAAACCAAAGTCCTCACTACTGTCTTTCTGGCAAAGAGGCTTCCCTGCTCCTAACCCATTTTTGGGGCAATGGTCTTGAGAACAAACAAAACCCATAATTCTCCCTCAGTTGATATCTCTACATAATAACGTCTCTGTGTCTTCTGCCACAGCAAGGGCAATGATGGACCTGTAAACTCTTTTTTTTGTAACCAACCTGATTCAGATTCTTCAATAGGCCAGCTTTGCTTAGGCCTCAACATTGTGTAAAAAGTAGAATATACTTTCTGTTTCTTTTACAGAAGCATCATTACTGCAAGGGAATATAATGTGCACATTAGAGACAAAACTACATTGAATCCTGCAGCTGCTGCTGGTCAGAACAAAAGTCCCTTGTGATGGTGATCCTGGAGGATTCCTGGCCATCAGTAGAAGGCCTTTCCTATGTTGGGCTGGTGGCTGATAGGGGAACAAGGTCCACAGTGTTTAGGCCTTCAAGAAGAGCCACCACATGGAACCAGAACATACCACCACAAGCAGAAAGACCTGGAAAGACCTCATCTATACTACAGATTTAAATCTATGCTGCAGACAACATACATACATACATAATACATTGTTGTTGTTAGTTGCGAAGTCGTATCCGACTCATCGCGACCCCATGGACAATGTTCCTCCAGGCCTTCCTGTCCTCTACCATCTTCTGGAGTCCCTTTAAGCTCACGCCTACTGCTTCAGTGACTCCATCCAGCCACCTCATTCTCTGTCGTCCCATTCTTCTATTGCCCTCAATCTGATGTTCAGTCTTGTCATCTCTTGTTTGACCACGTCCAGCTTGCCTTGATACATGGATCTTACATTCCAGGTTCCTATGGAGAACAGATCTTTACAGGATCGGACTTTCCTTTCACCACCAGATGCATCCACAGCTGAGCGTCCTTTCGGCTTTGGCCCAGTCGCTTCACTCTTTCTGGCGCTACTAGTATTGCCCTCTGCTCTTCCCCAGTAGCATATTGGACACCTTCCGATTTGAGGGGCTCATCTTCCAGCGTCATATCTTTTTGCCTTTTAGTACTGTCCATGGGTTTTTCATGGCAGATACTGGAGTGGCTTGCCATTTCCTTCTCCAGTGGATCACATTTTGTCAGAACTCTCTGCTATGACCTGTCTGTCTTGGGTGGCCCTGCACGGCATAGCTCATAGCTTCATTGAGTTACGCAAGCCCCTTCGCCACGCCAAGGCAGTAATCCACGAAGGGGATACATACAATACACACATAGATACATACATACACTCTGCCCTCTACTGGACAACCAGCTCAACTGTTCTGTTCTCCAAAATAACTAATCCAGTAATTTGGATGTTTCTGTAACTTCAGCATTAAAATGGAGCTAATTCCATTTCACTCCCCAATATTTAAACCTTGCTTCAACTGTATATAATACAGTGAACTAAGAGAGAATGATAGTGGGTACATTTTAAAGTGATAAAAGATAGTTGTCCTTCCTGTGATTGTATTTTATGGTTAGTGGCCATTGGCCACTAAACAGAACAATGTTCTTCTATAGAAGCCTGTTCTTACTCATCCTGGGGAATCAAAGCCATTTAAGCAAAAACGTGACTTTTCACTCACTGTAAGTAAGCTATTTTGGTACCGAAAAATCTGCCCACGTGTGGTGATTGCCACTGAGGCAGGACTAGAATTGGCTGCTTGTTCTCTTCCATCCAATGCTCTATGCCAGTGATGGCGAACCTTTTAGAGACGAAGTGCCCAAAAACGGTCCCCCCCACTCCTGTCCCCACTCCGCCCTGCCCACTGGGCCACCCACCACCTCCACGGCCCGCCACAGATCACCCAGGCAGCCCAGCAGCGCCATGGTGGCCACGCCCTCCGCCCATGCCCCACAGCATTATCTGCACACGACGGGGCGCAAGGGTGTCTTGTCCCCGCTGCCCGGCTACCATGTCCTTGGCTGCGCTGCTTCGCATGGGCCGTGCCCAGGGGCAACTCTCCTCCGGGGGGGCCTGCTGGTGAGGAGGGGGCCGTGGGAGGAGGCGGGGCTGGGGAGAGGGTGCGTGTGCCCACAGAGTGGGCTCTGAGTGCCGCCACTGGCAACCGTGCCATAGGTTCACCACCAATGCTCTATGCAAAGAGGCTGATTTGGGGATGGCCCTTTGGCTCCCCAAGACTTACCAGCAACTAAGAGACGGGCCAGGGTTGGCAGTGAACCAGACAGGGCCCGCTGGACTCAAGACAGGATTTGTCCCGATTCTGTACATGCAGGGCCTTCTCCCTACAATGTCACTCACGAAGATGGCCAGGTTGTTTCCAACAGTATTTGATGTGACAGTTATCTGAAACAACTGCAAAAACGCCATTTGACAAAGACACAGACTCCCGTTTGCGCAAACGGAAACACAATGTAGTTTCTAGAACCAAGTCTAGTGCGCGTTTCCTTGACAAAAGTTCAGCCATGCTTCTCCCTTTGAAGACTTCCCAGGAACAGCTGCCTGGGAAGAAGCCTGAAAGCCCTGGGAGATTTCCATCCTTCGCCACGCCAGATGGGAGATCCCTATTAGAGCAGGACAAATTTTCAGCTATTTAGAAAGAGTACAGAGAAGAACAACAAAGATGATTAGGGGACTGGAGGCTAAAACGTACAAGGAACAGTGGCTGGAATTGGGTATGTCTAGTTCAGTGATGGCGAACCTTTTAGAGACCGAGTGCCCAAACTGCAACCCAAAACCCACTTATGCATCGTCGGGTGCCGGGTGGGCGTGGCCCATTGGGTGGGCGTGGCTGCGGTGGTAACAGCAGACTGGATGGGACTAAAAAGTTCAATCAATCAATTCCAACTTTGCAAGACCTTTTTTTTCCCCGCGAGAAGTTGAAATTGACTGATTGATTGAACCTCTTTTTTTTGTGCACGGCGGCGGAGGCCTAAAGCGAAAAGGTTTTATAAAACCCAGCTGAAGGCCTAGGACTCAGGCAATGGCACGCATGCCCACAGAGAGGGCTCTGAGTGCCACCTCTGGCACCCGTGCCATAGGTTCACCACCACTGGTCTAGTTTAATGAAGAGAAGGACGAGGGGGGACATGACAGCAGCCTTCCAGTATCTCAGGGGCTGCCCCAAAGAAGAGGGAGTCAAGCTATTCTCCAAGGCGCCGGAAGGCAGGACAAGAAGCAACGGATGGAAACTGACCAAGGAGAGAAGCAACCTAGAACTAAGGAGAAACTTCCTGACGGTTAGAACAATTAGCCAATGGAACAACCTGCCTCCAGAAGCGGTGAATGCTCCAACACTGGAAATTTTTAAGAAGAGACTGGACAGCCATCTGTCCGAAATGGTGTAGGGTTTCCTGCCTGAGCAGGGGGTTGGATTAGATGACCTCCAAGGTCCCTCCCAACTTTATTATATTATTATTATTATTATTATTATTATTATTATTATTATTATTACTACTATTACTACTACTACTACTATTCCAAGCGCCGGATATATAATCGGGCTGCCAAAACGACTCCCTTTTCCGGAAACCACAATCGCGCGCCTTTTACACAACTCTCAACTTTCCAGAAAAGTTTTTTTTTCAACTTTGCAAACTTCTGCTTGCCAGGCCGAGCCACGCGGAAGCTCCTCTGGAGAGTTTTGGCTGCCGTCAAGAGGCTCGCTTAAAGCCACCCTCTCGCCCCCCCCCAGCCCCCCCCCCCACGGCTGGAGCCCAGCGCCCATCATCCCCAACCCTGCTGGGGCAGAGGCACGTGGGAGCGACGGCCGGAAGAGGCGGGAAGGAGCGCAGCAGCAGCAGCAGCGCCTGCCCCGACTCCACGCTCGCTCCTTCAGGAAGCGCCCAGAAGGGAGCCGGAGCCGTGCACGGGTTAGTTCGCCCCCTCGACCCGCCTGGCGTCTGAATGCAAGGAGGGAGGCTGGGGAGGGTCGCGCGGGCCGGCTGGGCGAGGCAGCCCCTCCATGCAGCCAAACCGTGGGGGGTGTGTGTGTGTGTGGAAGGTACAGCTGCCCTCCCGTCGGACGGGGGACTCCAGGGGCTGCCCAAAGTCGGGGCAACTTGAGAGCAGCCCCCGGGGGTCTCCTTCCAGGCGGCAGGGAGGACCCACGCCCAGGCGGGGTCCCAGGCGGCCCCTCGCCCCGGTGGGAGGAGCGGCCCCGGCGCCCTCTCGCCTGCCCACGGCGGGCTTTCCCGGACCGGGAGCTGCACTGCCGCCCCCTGCGCCCATCCGGGCCGAAATCCTCCGAGGGCGGGGACGAGGACCAGCGCCCGCTCGCCTTGCCGGGCCCGCCCGCTTTGCCCGCTCCGGGCCCCCGCTTTGGCGCCGCGCGCCGATTGGTCCGTTTGAAAGCGGCGGCGCGGCGTCATTGGCGGGCGGGCGACGGCGGCGCGGCGCGGTTAATTTGAATCTGCCGGCGGGCCTCGCAGAGCGGCGGCGGCGGCGCTTTTGGTCCGGGAGGCTCTTGCGCCGTGGAGGCACCGGCGGAGGAGCGGTAAGGCGAGGCGCCCTGCTGCAAGGCCCGGGGGGGGGCTGGCTAGGCGGGGACAGGCGCACCCCCCCATCCAGGCCAGCGGTGGAGCAGCAGCAGCAGCAGCCCAGGCGCCGGGCCCTCCAGCGGAGCTCTAACCCCGGGGTGGGAGGTCGTCGCTCCGGTGGCTGGGTGCCCCCCCTCTCACCCACCCACCCACCCACCCGGGGTGGAGCTGCGCCCCCCGTGCAAAGAACTCCGAGGCTGGGCAGATCCGGCTGGCCTTTCCCAGGCCACTGCAGAATGGAGGGGTCCAAAAAGCTTCCTTGGGGTGGGTGGGGGGAAAGCACTTTTCTGTGCAGCTCTTAAGCTGAAGGCGAAGGGGTCAAAGGGATTAAAATCAGCTGCATTGGAGTGGGCTGAGTTGGGGTCAGGCCCATGGAGGAGGGCCTGTGGCCTTCCTGGGTGGGGAACGGGAAAGTATCAAAAGGAAAGTTGGCTACAAATGGTTACTCTCCTTGGTTCTTTCAGCTCGAATCCTTTGGCATGATGGACGACTACACCAAGATAGAAAAGATTGGTGAAGGTAGGTGCCCCCCTGATCTGCTCCTCTGATGGGGGAGACCTCCCAGTCCTCTCGCATGAGGCTTCCTTCTTTTTTTAACATCCAAATATGTAGAAAGCATCGTGGTGACTGGGTAATCAATAGTCCAGTAACAAAAATTTTAGTGCATATCTCAGGTTACATTATCAAAAATTCCTTTTCTACTTACTTAAATATATTCTTATGTTGTTTCATAAACATTTTCTATTTCTCATCCTAGTGCATCACACCTTACTAGCAGAGTAACCTTTATGGTCTCAAATCCATCATCTATATTTTCTGGGCTAAGCAATAGTTCAAGGCTGATTCCTAGTATTTAATTGGCTTCCTCCTAGCCCCCAGGATTCTCCCAGGAGCTCAAGGTTTAAAAACCAAACAACCAAAACTGTGGGACATTAACACACCTCACACGATTGCGGACTACCCACCAAAAAATCTTGCAAGAGAAAATGCGAGGTAGTTGCTTTGGGGAACAGAACGGTCATCTTTGTGACCCAACATCTTTTAGTTCCTTGGAGACAATATTTTGGCCTTGGTCGGTTTGTCTTGGGCTCTTGGTGCACAAAACCTGAAGAGGGATCGACTTTATTCTGCAAAACTGTCCCTCAGCAATGCCTCTTAATTTGGTAAAAAAGATGCCTTTTCTCTTCTTGTGAGATTCTGGAAAGAATTGGGGGGCCTTTGTGTGTTCTCCAAGCATCCAAGTTCATCCCTCTTGTGTGCCAAGTTGCTTGGTGTTCTTTCTTGGCGTCCCTCTTCCAAATCTTGGCAACCCCTTCCCTCGCTTCATTCACGATTTAAAAAATTCAACAGCCTCCCCCCCCTCCCTGATTGCCTTTTCCCTTTGCGCTAGGAACATACGGCGTGGTGTACAAAGGCAAGCACAAGGCCACTGGCCAAGTGGTGGCCATGAAGAAAATCCGTCTGGAAAGCGATGAAGAGGGTGTCCCCAGCACGGCCATCAGGGAAGTTTCCTTGCTGAAAGAGCTACACCATGCCAATATTGTGTGGTGAGTACAACCCTGTGGTTCCATGTGGCAAAAAGGATGCTTTGTGTCTGTAGAGAGACAGGGAAGGAAGCTACGCCACTCTATTTTCCCCACATCATTTACACATGTACAAATACACACCCCAAACAGGCCTTTCATGAAATACAGGCAATATCAGTAAATGCCTAGGTATTAATGCCTAGGTCAGTGATGGCGAACCTTTTAGAGACCGAGTGCCCAAACTGCAACCCCAAACCCACTTATGCATCGTCGGGTGCCGGGTGGGCGTGGCCCATTGGGTGGGCGTGGCTGCGGTGGTAACAGCAGACTAGGTGGGGCTAAAAAGTTCAATCAATCAATTCCAACTTTGCAAGATCTTTTTTTCCCCTGTGAGAAGTTGAAATTAACTGATTGATTGAACCTTTTTTTTTTTTTGCACACGGAGGCGGAGGCCTAAAGCGAAAAGGTTTTATAAAATCCAGCTGAAGGCCTAGGACTGGGGCGACAGCGCGCGTGCCCACAGAGAGGGCTCTGAGTGCCGCCTCTGGCACCCGTGCCATAGGTTCGCCACCACTGGCCTAGGTACTGATGGTCCTGGACTTAGGGCCCACAATTGGGACCAGAATTTCTGTTGCTGAGTAAGGAAGTTTGTTAAGTGAGCGGTGCCCAATTTTACTAGCCTTTTGGCCATGCTCGTTAAGCAAAATGACTGCACTCGTTCGTTGAGTGACTTATGCAGGGGCAGAAGCGAACCCAGCTTCCCCCACTGACTTCACTTGTCAGATGCTGGCTGGGAAAGTTGCAAATTTTGATCACAGGACCCTGGCACGCTACAACCATCGTAAATGCACGCTGATCCACCTGTTTCTGCCCTCAAGCCTTCAGAGCGAGGCTTCTTTCCAGGTGGGGGGGGGGCTTGGGGGGTTATGCTGCAGGGGTTTGATTTTTATGGATAAAGATGGCATGCTAGTTGATCCCACCGTGTCTATTTGCACCTGGTGAAGTCTAGCTAGTCTGTGGTCTTACCTTATTGCTTACAAAATGTTTATTTAGTCAAGAGGAACGTTAACTGGGGATACATCTAATGGGCTGGTAAAATGTCTTGCTTTTGAATGTTTATGTTAGCCTTTCCAGGGAAAATGCAGGGAACTTTAAGTGGAACAGAAGTTTTCATGATATCTATATAAATAAAAATGTAAATGTTCGTTTGTTCAAAATCTTAAATCTCCGAAGGTTCTTCACCGATTGCTTTGAAATTTTGACACAACGTTGCATTTGAATACGCGCACGTTTTTATATACCATTATGTAGATCAGTGGTGGTGAACCTATGGCACGAGTGCCAGAGGCGGCACTCAGCCCTCTCTGTGGGCACGCGCACCATCGCCCCAGTCCTAGGCCTTCAGCTGGGTTTTATAAAACCTTTTCACTTTAGGCCTCCGCTGCCATGTGCAAAAAAAAAAAAAGTTCAATCAGTCAATTTCAACTTCTCGCGGGAAAAAAAAAGATCTTGCAAAGTTGGAACTGATTGATTGAACTTTTTAGTCCCACCCAGTTTGCCATTACCACCGCAGCCACGCCCACCCAATTGGCCACACCCACCTGGCACTCGACAATGCCTAAGTGGGTTTTGGGTTGCAGTTTGGGCACTCAGTCTCTAAAAGGTTCGCCATCACTGATATAGATGTCACACCTGTGACAGGTAAAAACATGCTTTTTTAAAAAAAACAACAGCGCCATCTGTTGGACATAAAAGCAACACACGCAGACTGAGCCACAGCAACGCGTGGCCGGGTACAGCTAGTGAAAAATAAATGAAAATGTCTAAGCTATTGCTGTAACGGCTTTTAGACATCATGCTGAACCAGATTTTTTTTTTAACCTCCTCCAGAATCACAATTGCTTCTCCCTGGCCCTTCCCAGCAGTGGGAGCATCTGAGCACACTAGAGAAGAGTATTAATTAATGATCCAATGAGATAATCATTAATTTGGCCTTTTGTGGGGAATGAGAGAGCTTGCAGAGTGGGTAGAGGGAGCTGTTGTGCTGGCTAGAGTGAAGGAGTTTGAGTTGTCTTCCCTCGTTCAAACAAATCTCTTTAGTCTTCAGGATGTTCTTATGCAAGACTCAAGGCTTTACCTTATCTTTGAATTTCTTTCCATGGATCTCAAGAAATACTTGGATTCTATCCCATCGGGACAGTATTTAGATCGTATGCTCGTTAAGGTAAGAAAGAGTAAAATAAAAAAAGGAGGGTCCGGAAAAATGTTCTAGCTCATATCCGCCATGAGCCTCCTAAGGTTGAGATTGGTGGAAGCAGCAATAAAAGCAAGCGAGTGTTTATAAAAAGTTGTGGGTTGTGGTTTTTTTTGAGGGGTTTTGGCCAAGGAATCCCTGCTTGTGAACTGCAAAGTGCACCATCTGTCCAAAGACAGCTGTTGTGAAGTTCAGCATGTGCCAAATAAGCTTAGATTTTCTTAACTGCTTTTGCAAGAATCTGTCTACGCTCAGGGACATCCATGATGACCCTTTTCTCACAAAGTCATCATGCAATCCCTAGGACTTACAGACTTGCATCAGAAATTCAAGTACAGTAGTGGCCAAAGTTGTGGAAACCTGTTGGGAAAAAGTGTACAGTAGAAATGCCACCTTTGGTTAAGTTTCCACCAGTTTTTCTTCTAATTTCTTTATAACTGTAGCTTTGTTCACTTAATAATACTATTTTATATCGCTTTCTGGGCAACCAGTCAACTCTTTGCACCATGACTTTAATTTTATTACGTTTTACAAACTCACTCAATGAAAGAACACAAAAAAACCCAACCAACTTGATAGCGATCACATAACACCCTGACCAAAGTCCTCTCAGCTTCAATACAGGACATCAATAACTGAATCCTACTGTGATCTGATTGGCTCATTGCCAAAACAAGAGGACACCCGATTGGCTCTCTAAACAATCATGCTCATTGGCTACAATCGGATAAAGGAAAGCTCCCTGAGATCAACCTAAGCAAGTTGTGCTTCCTTATTCTGGTTATTTGACTATAACTTTTCGTAGAATACAGTACAGATAATTGAACAAATTATGTTGCATTATGTTCTTGGTTAAATTACCTTTCCATTGATATATAATTTTATGGTACTACTCCCCCCCCCCCAAAAAAAGTGGTGTTATTAGCCATCAAATCTCAAAAATACACTTTTCCCAAAAGGTTTCCACAATTTTGGCCACTATATGTAACCTTTGTGTTGGCTGATGCATGACTGAGCATCGTTGAGTGACACTGATTGGCTATGGATGCTACAGAAGATGTTACCTTTCCCTGAAGTGGAAGTCTTTGCTCTTGTGATTCTTTCAGAGTTACTTGTACCAAATCTTGCAAGGCATTGTGTTCTGCCATTCAAGAAGGGTTCTCCACAGAGACCTGAAACCTCAGAACTTGCTAATCGATGACAATGGTGTGATTAAACTAGCCGACTTTGGGCTGGCGCGCGCTTTCGGCATCCCTGTGCGTGTCTATACACATGAGGTAAGGGGGCAGGTGTGGCTTTTCCTTCAGGCAGGATCAGATCTCTGAAGAGGTTGAAGCACTTCCCTTTGGACGGGGGGGGGGGCAAGGGCCCTGTGGGGAGAATATAGGGGCGGCCTGCAGATGGGGCCATTGGGAGTGGAAGGCGGCCCTGTGTGAACAAACATTTGGCAGCAATTTGTGTTCAACTTGAAATCGCTTGAAAACTACCTTCCTTCTTTTGGTGACAACGGTGCTAACGTGGGCTCACTGAAGGAGAAAATGGGTCCTGAGTGCCTGTTAATCATTCATCCTGAAGAGTTTAGGTTACGGGTTGGCAACCCGCAGCTCTGGAGCCACATGTGGCTCTTTGAGCCTTCTGCAGCTCCCAGTCCTCCACCATTTGCAGAGAGACAGAGAGAGGCGCTTGCGCTTCCCTTCTCTCTCTCTCTCTTTCTTTCTCTCTCTCTGTAAAAAAGAGTGGCCTCACACTGTTCTCCAAGCTGACAAGCTTATTGGGCGGGACTCCTCCTTTGCTGCGTCTCTGCAGGAAGCAGCAGAAAGCTGCAAGCAGCAGCTCTCTCTCTCACTCACACACACACACACACACACACTAAGTTGGGGAAGAGGACTGGCAGACCAAGAGCAGGAGACAGCCAGCCCAATAAGAATGTGTCAGCTTGTCTGAGAACAGCGTGAACCCAGCTTGCCAGGTGAGCTTATTTTGAAATAGCAGGTAAAATCTAATCGCTGATTTCCTTTCTAGGTTGTAACCTTGTGGTACAGATCCCCAGAGGTCTTGCTTGGCTCTGCCCGCTACTCGACTCCCGTAGATATATGGAGCATCGGGACCATCTTTGCAGAAATGGCCACCAAGAAGCCACTGTTCCACGGGGATTCGGAAATCGACCAGCTCTTCCGGATCTTCAGGTATCAAGACTGGGATAAACAATCAACTGGGGCAAGTAAAATCTGTGGCTTGGGCGTCACCTTTGTATGCTCCTCCCTTGAGATAGACATCTGTGGGGTTCCCTGATGAATTAGGATTGGTCTGCTCATGGTTCCCAGCTGTTCTCATGACAGACAACTCTACAGTAGTGGCCAAAATTTGTGGAAACCTTTTGGGGAAAGTGTATTTTTGAGATTTGATGGCTAATAACACCACTTTTTTGGGGGAGTGGGAGTAGTACCATAAAATTATATATCAAAGGAAAGATAATTTAATCAAGAATGTAATGCAACATAGTTTGTTCAGTTATATGTACTGTATTCTATGAAAAGTTATAGCCAAATAACCAGAAAAAGGAAGCACAACTTGCTTAGGTTGATCTCAGGGAGCTTTCCTTCATCCGATTGTAGCCAATGAGCATGAGCGTTTAGAGAGCCAATCGGGTGTCATCTTGTTTTGGCCATGAGCCAATCAGATCACAGTAGGATTCAGTTGTTGATGTCCTGTATTGAAGCTGAGAGGAGGACATTTGTCAGTGTGTTATGTGATCGCTATCAAGTTGGTTGGGTTTTTTTGTGTTCTTTCATTGAGTGAGCTTGTATAACGTAATAAAATTAAAGGAATGGTGCAAAGAGTTGACTAGTTGCCCAGAAAGTGATGTAAAATAGTATTATTGAGTGAACAAGGCTACAGTTATAAAGAAATTGGAAGAAAAATGGGTGGAAACTTAACCAAAGGTGGCGTTTCTACTGTACACTTTTCCCAAAAGGTTTCCACAATTTTGGCCACTACTGTACAGCTGGTTGGGGTATGCCTCTGCTGACCTGCTGTTATGTATGGCTAGAACTACAGATGAGTTTAGGAGTGTGAAACAGCATTTTCTTTATAGAGTTGCCAAAAAATAAAAGTCAGTCCGCAGTGCATTAAGTGGAACCCACTCAAATGCATTTGCCAACTTACCTTAAAAGAGGATTGCTTCTGGTGCCGATGGGCTGATCCAAAGCTCTGCAAAGTTCAGAGCAGTAAAGGAAGTGGACTCTCTCTCAGACAGACACACACACACACACACCTGTTGTATCCTATTACATCCCTCCTGCTGGACCAATGGAAGCAAAATTATATTTTCCAGCCTAAAAGTGGTCCCCCTGTTTCTTCCCAGTCCTGGGGTGCCCAGATGAAATGGGAAGGCAGACCCACACAGGCATAGCCAAACGATACCCTCTCTCTTTTTTGGGCTGCTGTTGCCAAGGGCACAACGTTTCTGTGTCAGTTTGTGAACAGCTGATGGCAGGGGAATCTTAGCCAGCTGGTCTTTACCCTCCCTCTCTCCTCTTCCTGACAGAGCGTTGGGGACCCCCAACAATGACGTGTGGCCGGAAGTAGAATCCTTGCAGGATTACAAGAACACCTTCCCCAAATGGAAACCGAGCAGTCTGGCGTCGCAAGTGAAGAATTTGGACGATGAAGGCCTGGATCTGCTCTCTGTAAGTGGCCGCATCGCTCTTCTGCGGGATCTGGAAGTTGAGTCATGCCAAGTGGACTTCTTTTGAGTTTGAGTTTGAAACCTTTCACTGCTTATCCAGCTACCTTATTGAGTCTGACCCATAGGGAGTCCCCCCCCTAACCAACATACTCAGACTGAAAAGCCTATTTGGATAAGCAGTGAAACATTTCAAACTCAAATGGAAAAGAAGTCTAGCTGGATGACAATAATGATATTATTATCATCCATGATATAATGGATGATAATAATAATAAAGTTGGAAGGGACCTTGGAGGTCATCTAGTCCAACCCCCTTGCTCAGGCAGGAAACCCTATACCATTTCGGACAAATGGCTGTCCAGTCTCTTCTTAAAAACTTCCAGTGTTGGAGCATTCACCGCTTCTGGAGGCAGGTTGTTCCACTGGTTAATTGTTCTAACTGTCAGGAAGTTTCTCCTTAGTTCTAGGTTGCTTCTCTCCTTGATCAGTTTTCATCCGTTGCTTCTTGTCCTGCCTTTAGGTGCTTCGGAGAATAGCTTGACTCCCTCTTCTTTGTGGCAGCCCCTGAGATACTGGAAGATTGCTCTCATGTCCCCCCTCGTCCTTCTCTTCATTAAACTAGACATACCCAATTCCAGCAGCCGTTCCTTATACAATCTTCCATCAACATCTCCACACCCTTAAAAGGCCCCGTCCTCAAAGTGGCCATTTTGATTTTTCTGAAGGGGAAATAAGATGTCTCTCTTGGTTGTTAGACCGGATGGCCAAGGCATTGAACAGAAAGCAGATGGTCAGGCTTTGAGAAAATAGCTGCAGGTCTGCAAATTGTGGTTTGGTTGAATTGTTGCTGGGAGAAGCCAGGATTTTATGGAAGGTTATCTTTGCAAATAGTTCTTGATGTAGCCATTTGTTTCAAATCCAAATGTGTCCCTAATGCCAAGTGGGAAGTCTGCTGTTTGGATAACAATTTGTTTGGCTTGTACCTTCTGGATTAAGGGACAACCGCCGGTTGTCCACACAGTTATTCCAACAGGTACAGTAGTGGCCAAAATTGTGGAAACCTTTTGGGAAAGGTGTACAGTAGAAATGCCACCTTTGGTTAAGTTTCCACCCATTTTTCTTCCAATTACTTTATAACTGTAGCCTTGTTCACTTAATAAGACTATTTTACATCGCTTTCTGGGCAACCAGTCAACTCTTTGCACCATGACTTTAATTTTATTACGTTTTACAAGCTCACTAAATGAAAGAACACAAAAAAACCCCAACCAACTTGATAGCGATCACACAACACACTGACCAATGTCCTCCTCTCAGCTTCAATACAGGACACCAATCACTGAATCCTACTGTGATCTGATTGGCTCATGGCCAAAACAAGATGACACCCGATTGGCTCTCTAAACGCTCATGCTCATTGGCTACAATCAGGTGAAGGAAAGCTCCCTGAGATTAACCTAAGCAAGTTGTGCTTTCTTTTTCTGGTTATTTGGCTATAACTTTTCACAGAATACAGTACAGATAATTGAACAAACTATGTTGCATTACATTCTTGATTAAATTATCTTTCCATTGATATATAATTTTATGGTGCTACTCAAAAAAAAAAGTGTTATTAGTCATCAAATTCTAAAAAATACACTTTTCCCAATAGGTTTCCACAATTTTGGGAAAAATAGGGTTTTCCTCAGCAGGTGCATGCAAATGAGTTGCATTCGTATAATCTGCCAGAGGGAAGGTGCCAGGAAGGGTTCTGCCAGATGAGATCCGGTCCTGTGTTTTCTTTGGTTCAACCTTTTTTTCCCTAGCATCTTCCCACAAGTGCAGAGTCTGCTTTTTTTCTTCTTCTTCCCAACAGGATGTCCTTCTGTTTCTCTAGATGCAGAGTGGTCATCAGGACGACTCAATAGGTTGCTAGTTGTCTAGTATATATTTGTGATTCTGGCTTTCCGTGTCCCAATTTGTTTTGAGGTACTTCTCGTGAAGTTGTGTAGGGCAGCAGTCCCCAACCTTTTGGGCACCAGGGACCAGTTTCACGGAAGACAACTTTTCCACAGACCGGGGTCGGGGGGGTGGGAGAAACGTGCAACCTAGATCCCATGTATGCACGGTTCTCCTCGCCCACTGCTCACCTCTAACTGGGCAGCCCAGTTCATAACTGGCCACGGACCGATACCGGCCAGCAGCCCGGGGGATGGGGACCCCTGTGTAGGACCCCTGTGATCTATTGCTTGTTATAATGTCCAGAAGACATAGTATTTCTCACCTTGTATTAGATGGAGGAGATGACCGGTAGGTGTAGAGTGGGCATCTCTCCCCTTGCTCTTTTTAACATCCACATAGGGAGACTGTGATTCTGCCGTAGGGCCCAGACCCCACCGAATATAATAGCTACCCACCACCTTTCCCATGGTGACCACTGGGTTCCCTGCCGTACCTTATTTGGGTTAACGGTTAAGGCCCTTTGAATTATTAATAATAATAATAGTAAAGTTGGAAGGGATTTTGGAGGTCATCTAGTCCAACCCCCTGCTCAGGCAGGAAACCCTATACCATTTCGGACAAATGGCTGTCCAGTCTCTTCTTAAAAACTTCCAGTGTTGGAGTATTCACTGCTTCTGGAGGCAGGTTGTTCCACTGGTTAATTGTTCTAACTGCCAGGAAGTTTCTCCTTAGTTCTAGGTTTCTTCTCTCCTTGATTAGTTTCCATCCGTTGCTTCTTGTCCTGCCTTCGGGCGCTTTGGAGAATAGCTTGACTCCCTCTTCTTTGTGGCAGCCCCTGAGATACTGGAACACTGCTATCATGTTCCCCCCTCGCCCTTCTCTTCATTAAACTAGACATACCCAATTCCAACAACCGTTCCTTATACAGTATGTTTTAGCCTCCAGTCCCCTGATCATCTTTGTTGCTCTTCTCTGTACTCTTTCTAGAGTCTCAACATCTTTTTTACATCATGCTGACCAAAACTGGATGCAGTATTCCAAGTGTGGCCTTACTAAGGCATTGTAAAGTGGTATTAATACTTCACGTGATCTTGATTCTATCCCTCTGTTAATGCAGCCCAGCACTGTGTTGGCTTTTTTGGCAGCTGCAGCACACTGCTGGCTCATATTTAGGTGATTGTCCACTAGGACTCCGAGGTCCCTCTCACAGTTGCTACTATTGAGCAAGGTACCCCCTATACTATACCTTAACAGATTACAAACTAGCCTTCTGCAGGGCAACTGACATTGTACTTCCAAGAACTTTTTTGGAGCTCCAGAAGCATATTTAGAAACTGAAAACGCTGGTTAGTTTCATCCAGTGCCTTGCTTAGGAGGATCACACCCATGGACAGGGAGGGAAGAAGCATCAGCAGAGAATCACCTAAAGAGTTTTTCTGCTTGTCTCTGGTGCTTTGTTGACCTGCCCTCTGGGTCAGCCATTTTGTGACCGTTTCATGCAATCTAAACACCAAAAAATGGCGGCAGAGGCAGGAGGTCTTCTGAAGCGGGACTGAAGAATTTGGGTCAAATGTTTCTTGCCCTGCCGAGGACGCCCACCGCTCCGTCCTTCTCGCCCAGGGGTAGGCAACCTTGGCTCTTTTATGACTCGTGGACTTCAACTCCCAGAATTCCTGAGCCAGCCATGGCTCAGCTTGGAAACCTCTCCCTTTCCCCTCAGCATGGCTGGCTCGGGAATTCTGGGAGTTGAAGTCCACCAGTCATAAAAGAGCCAAGGTTGACTACCCCTGTTCTCGCCTGTGGATTGTCGGTGGGTGATGTGTGTCCCTTTGTTCTGACTTGCAGAAAATGTTGATCTACGATCCCGCAAAAAGGATTTCCGGCCGTATGGCCCTGAATCACCCATACTTTGACGATCTGGACAAATCGAAACTCCCAGCCAACCGGCTCAAGAAATGCTAACTGTTGGTTTGTGGAGATGCTGCTGTGCGGGAGTTTGCTACGAGAGTATGCAGAAGTCGTTGCTCCTCTTTTTTTTATATGTGTCTGTCCTGATCTAAAATTATAGCCCTGTTTAGAGCACCCTAAATGTAAAATCCTCCTCAACTGTAAATATTAAGCGATTTAGCCCTCAATAAACTTGTGCACTGTTAATTATTCCCACCGAGATATAAACAAATCCTTCAAAACTAGGACGGAACGTTTCCTCCAGATGCTTGCAGATGCTCGGCTGACTACCAGAAGGGGGCTAAAAGCTTTTAGCCCTTGCGGTTTTGTAGAAAAAGCCCCTCTTAGGAAAACTGGTTGGACGAACCCGAAATCTCCCAACAGGTGCAAGTCTGGCTTGGCTGAGGTCATCTTTGAGGACCTCCCACATCCTGTAGGCCTCCCATAGAAGTTCATGCAAGGCTTGAGGCCGGTCCCTGCGTGAATCCCTTGATTGTGAGAGAGCCCGCTCAGCTCCATTGTGGTTGGCTTTAGGGAAGGTGACAGTCTCCCTTCCTCTCCTCCCTGCCTGGAGAACACGTGGGCAGCCCCTGCTGTGATCTGCAACTCCTTCCGTGACAGTGAGGGTCAACCTCTAGACCAGGTGTAGGCAACCTTGGTTCTTTTATGACTCGTGGACTTCAACTCCCAGAATCCCTGAGCCAGCATGGCTCAGCTTGGAAACCTCTCCCTTTCCCCTCAGCATGGCTGCCTCAGGAATTCTGGGAGTTGAAGTCCACGAGTCATAAAAGAGCCAAGGTTGCCTACCTCTGGCCTAAGCCTAGGCCGCTCTATGACTCGTGGACTTCAATTCCCAGAATTCCTGAGCCAGCATGGCTCAGCTTGGAAACCTCTCCCTTTCCCCTCAGCGTGGCTGGCTCAGGAATTCTGGGAGTTGAAGTCCACGAGTCACAAAAGAGCCAAGGTGGCCTACCCCTGATCTAGACCACCAGCAGACTGGGAGTGGTCTCATCTTGAGGTGCAGCAATAGAAGTTGCAGCAGACCATCGTTAAACCTTCTATTAAATATTTGTTTCTCCTATGAAACCTGAGATTTCGGCTACCAGCTGCTTCCTGAGGATCCCAAGCCATCGAAACTCAAGATTTTTGCACTGCTGACAGGCAGACATTCAACCGGAGGAGCTCTGTTGAGTCAGCTCACTTTATCCGTGTTCTGAGGCAGAGGAGGAAATGAGGTAATCAATTCAAGTGAGAAATGGTGGCTGCTGTATCCATGACTCGACAAACCGACTTGTCAGTGTGCCGTTTCCTCTTGAACCACAAGATGTCAGCACAATCTCTACACAATCCTAGAGAAATCAAGGCGTGGTAGGAGACCGACTGCAGGATGGAGCTGAATCACACTGGAATAGCTTGCAGGATGATTAGAAGGGCGTGTGTACTTGCCTGTGAGTTTATGGGGCAGAATTACTACGCTTAAAAATGATTGTTTAAAGGATGGCAAACTGTTTAAAACCCTGTCCTCCATTCTCTCATCCTGGGTTTTGCTTCCTGGGAGTAGCTGGTGGATTGGAAAATAATTGCCTTCCTGATCATATTTGCCAAATCTGTTGAAATCCTATTTACTTAATATAAATCTAATATCTAATGTTTTGCACTGTTGGAGTGAAAAGTGCTACGTGTTTCATTTTGGCATCAGCAACTTCTGCTTTCTCCTTCAACAACAAGCAAATTTGTGTGTTCACTTGACCTGTGAAGGAACAAGCCCTTTTCTCAACTCCAGAGCATCTTGAACTCAAGAAATAAGAATAGGAAAAGTATGTTTTTCTGCTTCCACTCACGGCTTCCCATCTTTGGCCAAGTGTGAAACCCAAACACTTTCAACATATGTGGATACAATTCATTTGCGCTTAATGCAGGTGGGAAAATTCTGCTGGTGCATCTCTGCTCTTCCCCTTAATTAGAAGTGTGATACGGAAAATATTGTGCTTCCAGCTGGCCATTCATCACCACAAAATGTTCATAATTTCTGAACAAAATTAAAAGGAGGAATTTTAATCCAATATAGGTAAATTATGCCTCGGTTCCAGGCTTTTTGTGTCTGCTTAGAAGAAAGGTCTGGTGTGAATAATCCAGAGAAAGAAATATTTTGGGAAATATTAAAAAGGATTTCCTCAAAGGATTTTAAAGGCAGAACCCCACCCCCAAGTCTCTCTGCCCCAGACAGAAACCAGGTCTGCAGAAATGCAGATGTGATAATCTTGTCAGAAAGATTGGAGTCAGGAAGCTGGGATTAGAAAGATCCCTAGAATCAACAATCCCTCACACTAAAAAAAAATCCAACAGTCATCCACCAAAGCCCCAGGGAAGCAGGATATGACCTTTGGGACATAATAGGATTAACCCACCACCATCAGAATACCAGGAAGGCACACTCAGACTCAGGTCAAAGTTCATGCCACAAGAACAACTCCAAACAAAAGCCCAAGAAGGTATAAATACCCACCACTCTCTACTACATGTGGTCAGTTTTTTCCAGAGCCATCTTTCTGTCTGGCTCTCCTCGTCAATAAACTACAATTTTCTTTCTAAAGCAGTCTCCATTTTGTTTATTCCCTGCTTGGACTGGACCCTGATGAAGATTTTTCTTTCCACAGTCTATATCTTTGGTTTTATTTGTCATCCACCTCTTAATATATGGCAATAACCAACTGGTGAACTCTGGCTGTGACAGTTAAAACTGTCCAAAAGGCAAGACCACCTAAATCTTTTACTGGCCACTTTAACTGCCTAGAGTTGGGATGGTTTATCAGACCTTCCTTGTCTCAAGCTACCCTAAATACATAGGGTCTCTCCTTTGCATATGTGACCAAAGTCATTCTGTGGAGAAATATCACACATGTATGAACGCATACAACATTTTTGGGGGGTTAGTCAATCGGAAAAGACACGCACACGACCAGTTCAAACTCCAGCAAGATGTAGGGGTAGGAAACAGCAGCAGAACCTTTTAGCGTCTCAATTCAAATTAAATTTTCACAGTTGATCCGTTCTTAAGAAAGGCTGAAAGGAGGCATTCCCCATCGAAGAGCAGGTCCGCAGCCACCAATGTGTTGCTAGATATTTTACACTGGGCCCGATCCTCAACCCCTCCGTAGACATTGCCTTCTTTTGGGACGTCTTTTTTCGTGAACAAATTTAGGAAGACAAGATGCAAGGTGAAGTCATGGCCGGAAGGAGGAAATGAAGGTGGATTTGAAGGGCTTCCTCGGGGCCTGCACTGTGCTCCCCAGAGTAACAGGTCCTCAGTTGCAAAGGGGAACCTGCAATTAGTGGAGGGGGAAGGAAGGGCTCTGAACTGTCCAAAAGGGCACCAGGACCTCCTGCACCTGAAGTGCTATGGATGGCTTAGGACAGGTGCCTGTGCAACAAACAAGGCAGCAAAGGGGACCTGGTGCGCCTTAGATCCCTGGAATGAAAACTTTATACTCCGGTTCTGGGTCTTCATAAGCCTTGCAATCCTACATGGCCGTGTGACCCAGTTGGGTCCTGGGTCAAGAGTTCTAAAAAGGCTGGAAAGAAGCACGAATGGCTTTCAACGCATTCTTTAAAATGAGGAGAGAGTCGAGGCAAGATTGTATATAGCTAAACCATTTTATTGAGATGCTTTCCCCCAAATAGAAACAAAAGTTAAGTGTCCCACCAAGCTTAAAGGCCACAGGCAGAATTAAACCAAATGAACCAGCCATTTGGTTCTAGAAGCTCTTAAGTAGTCCAACCATTGGGTATTGCAAACAACTCCGGTTGATTGACTCCTCTCCGTTGATTTTGCCAGGCACAGCAGCAACGTTCATACAACACTCTGGGTGCAAAACATTTTGCCATAGGCTGCCTCTTCTGCGTATTGCAGCGTTGATTCATGGGACAGATAAGAAGCTGAGCCCATAGCCCCCCTGTCCAGAGGTGGTTGCTAAATTGGACTTCAGAAGGATGCCATAAGCAGCCTTAGGCTCTCCTCCACAGGAATAAACCTTTGTGCTCATCCTTCTTGCTCTTAAGAGCCAAAAGGATGAAATCTGAGCCACAGATTTTTTCCTCGGCTTGCTCTGCCTTTCCTCTTGTGAACCTTGACCAAACACGATAGATACGTGCAAATACCCTTTGCCTTCCCAGCCCTTCGTAACAAACAGTACGATGAGTTTTTGAAAATATGGATTATTTAATGTTATACAGTGGAGAGATTTCTGAGTCTCTCCCGGTGGCCTCCGCTTCTGGGCCCTGGCAAGGTGGAGAAGATTTCCTGATTCAGCAGCAGCTGAGAATGAGATTCCTTCTCGTTGCCCAAGTTGGCTCAAAAGTTGATGGGGAATTATTTATTCACCTGCTTTACCTGTAAATATGTAGTTAAAGGAGCAGGCTTTGAAAAAAGGTCTTTCTTTATATCCCTCTAAGGAAGTGAGAGAATGGGAGTGTCACACTGACACCCCCCCCCCAAATCTCCTTGTCTGGTAAGGAGTGAGCAACCCAGGTTCACCTCTGCCTGAAGGGGAGATGGGTAGTCTTCGAGTTATAATTACAGTTGTAAATGGTGACAGTCACAAAGCAGATAACCATGTGACTGGACCAGCTTTTATGGCCTTTTTTGCAGTGATTGTTAAGTGAATGCCAGTGGTTGTAAAGTGACCATCCCGGTTGCTAAACAAATACCACGGTCATTGTTGACTCTGGGTGCTTTTTGAGGGAAACTGGAAGTAAACTCATGTTTCTGGCAAACATCGTAAATTGTGGTCACGTGGAAGCAGTCGTACGTGCGACTGGCTGCCAAGCATCCCAAATGTCACCTGACTGCAGGGGGGGAGGAAGGTGTTGGAACTTTGGAACCAGCTCTAAGTGCCTTTTGGAGGGGGGTCTATTGTAACTTTGGTCACTAAGCAAGTGGTTATAAGTCAAGGACTACCCCTACAACCTCAGGTCTCCCAATCCAGCCCCCACTGTCCTGTCGCAGGAGGTAGCCCGTTTACTCCTAAAGTATTTTTTTAAAAACAACGCTAATATAAAACACCCCAAAATGCTGGGAATCTGAGGTCTACGTATAGGTCTTTAGCAAAAGGTATTTACCAAAATGTCAGTGGTTGAGAGGAGAGATTTCCCAGCATTTTTGGAAGCAACAAGATACTCGGCCAACTTAGTTAAGAAGCTATCGTTTAAAAAAATGGGATTATTTGGGCCAGAGTGACACTATCGAAATGCAGCTGGATGGTTGCTGTCTTGCAGAGTAATAAAAATGGAAGAAGTCGTTTTATTTAAGGAGCCCTTCACGTGTGACTATGTATAATGAACCAAAGAATATTATGCAGATGGTTTTTTTTTCCAAAGAAAAGCCAGTTCTGAAGAAACCACTCAAATTAGCAAAGAGTGTTCCTGCCTTTGGCTTTGAAAGAGAAAATAGATATTTTCCTTAATTTCACTCCTGAACTAGATAAAAAGGAGAGAGTTTACACATGGCAGTTGCATCCTGCCCTAACAGGGCAAATATTCAACATAACTGAAAAAAAAATTTGTACACTTTGTGTTCTTTGGCTGATTGACAATTACAATCCTAATGACATCAGTTGTTAATGGATCTCGGGGGGTTTTTCAGACAAAAGAAGAAGGATTTAATTATTACAAACGCAGTCCTTGGGGAAAGAAAAACATCCTTCACCTAGCAGAATTGGACATGTTGCTAGGTTATCAATTTCAGGGAGATTTTAAATCCATTGTTTTGTTTTCAGCACTACAGTGACCGAAGGGGTGGTGAAAAGAAACGGAGATGATTTAAAGGCTTGGCTAATTTTGCAATCTCAGAGAGAGAGAGAGAGAGAGAGAGAGAGAGAGAGAGAGAGAGAGAGAGAGAGAGAGAGAGAGAGAGAGAGAGAGAGAGAGAATGTCACAGACATATTATTTAAAGACCTTCCCCTACAGACCCCACACAGAAATGCTCATTCACAAGTATAAAAATAGGTTCACGTCAGAGATCAAAACACTGATGTTGAATTTCTTGTTATTGAAATATAAAAGGGGGGGATGTGCCAACTTCAGCTTATGAAAATGGCAGAGTTGGGGGTCTAAGAAAGAGATTCACACTACTGAGGTGGGCTTGTGCTTCCTAACCTTTGGTGATCCCTGAATTCAGGTGGAATACAAGTGGTGCCTCCGGGTCTCTTTTGCCCAGTCTGCTAAGCCCTTGGTCTGGGGAGAGACCCATTGAAACGAAGGAGAGAAAAGTCTTTGCAGGTCCCACCGAGCCAGCTGTGCGCCCAGGAGCAACGCCAGAGCTAATTTTTTTTCCCAGCTGAGCCAAGATGGGTTGGCTTCCTCTCAATTCAGGCAACTACAGTTGAGGAACTCCAGAAGCACCACTTCCTTTTTGAATGATGTTTATTGAGGGCCAGTTCTTCCTTCTCTCGCTCCTTCTTAACCCGCTGGAAATGATCTTCCTCCTTTAGGTACCAAATCGGAGGCCAGCGGTGCTTCTCAAAATATTCCTGATTATCTGGTGAACAAAGGATACACTCAGTAAGTTTAACAATACTTTGAACCAGCAAAGAAACTTGTCTATTTTCTTGAAGGGTAAAAGCTAGGCCTGTGGTGGCGAACCTATGGCACACGTGCCACAGGCGGCACGAAGAGCCCTCTCTCTGGGCACGCACGCCATTGCCCCAGTCCTAGGCCTTCAGCTGGGTTTTATAAAACCTTTTCGCTTTAGACCTCCGCCGCCGTGTGCAAAAAAAAAAAAAAGGTTCAATCAGTCAATTTCAACTTCCCGTGGGGAAAAAAAAGGTCTCGCAAAGTTGGAGTTGATTGATTGAACTTTTTAGTCCCACCCAGTCTGCCGTTACCACTGCAGCCCTGCCCACCCAATGGGCCATGCCCACCCGGCACCCGACGATACATAAGTGGGTTTTGGGTTGCAGTTTGGGCACTCAGTCTCTAAAAGGTTCGCCATCACTGAGCTAGGCAATGTGTTATCTATCACACAAAAGTCACGGAACGCAGAATCTGAAATCTTGGGCTGATTTTTGGGGGGAGAAAAAAAATCTCTTTTCAAAAGTCCACCAAGTTTCGAGTTGTTATAGGGTGGGGATGAGAACTTCTAAGATTTCTTATTTGTGGTGAAGGACGTAGATCTGTGTGTCTACTTTTAGATATTCTCAAATAGAAAACTCAGAAAGAGATACTGTGTTTCCCTGAAAATAAGACTCCATCGGAAAATAAGCTCTAGCATGATTTTTCAGGATGCTCGTAATATAAGCCCACCCCAAAAATAAGCCCCAGTGAAGATCGTCAGTCAGATGGACACATTTAGTACCTTATTTTCCCGAATATAAGCCCTAACCGGAAGATAAGCCCTAATGCGTCTTTTGGAGCAAAAATTAATATAAAACCCAGTCTTATTTTTGAGGAAACACGGTTTATGAAAGACACAAAATGCTAGACTGCCATAACTCCAAATGGACCTTCCTGGTTTACAGAGATCATCAAAATGTTTGAAACTGAAGCGTCCCAAAGACAGAATAGGACGCTTCAGGGGTGGGATAATTTCTGCAGCTGAATATTATGCCTTCTTAGATTTCCGTGATTCTGCAGCTATAAAAAAAGGGTCTTATAAGCTACGTTATAATAAGCAGTAAACCATATAAATATCTGCAGGTGGGCTTCAAACGCAGATACAAACATTGAGAAAAGGTGACGGAGAAAGTTTGGCAGAATCTCTTACCAGGAGACTTCATTTTTATTTCCTTTCGGAACTTCGAACAAACACTGTTATAGTTAGTGCAGATGTAATGCAAGCACCAAGCGGCCAGCTGCTTAGCGTTGTGGAACTGGAAAAGAAGCAAAGGGGAGTCAAGGCAAGAGAACATCTCCAGCGGTGTAGCCATCTCCACTGCTGAAGCTTTGGGGGACCTCTTGGGAAGCAGGCATTCAGGCTGGACATTTCATTGGAGCAGGGACTGCTTCTCAAACCATCCTGATAGCCCAGTGAGTGTTTCCAAGGGGCACTTTATGAGAGGACAGATGTTACTCTCAGAGGAAACGAGGAGATAATGGCAGTAGAAAACTGATGGGCCAAAAAAGAAGGGATTTCACCCTGCCAATCTCTAGGAAAACATCCCTCAGCCACCTCGTATTTGGTCCTGAAACCTCCGCTACTCGTAGTCATCCCAATCAGGCTGACCACAAAGGTTGATTCTTGTAGTGCAGAGCATCAGGCTCTCCTCTTCTGGAGAAGCTGGAATCTGCTCCCCTGCTGATCTCCCTCAAAAACACACGTCATCTCATTAAGGACAGATTGAAAAGGTTTTTTTTAAGGTGGTGAGAAGTTGTATCCTCAGCTTTTCAAAAGGGACAGCAGGACGAGAAGCACAAAAACTACTGGGGATGTATCTTATACGTCCCCAGCCCATTTGCAATTGTTACCCCAAAAGTAATGTTGAAGAAAAAGGAATCTCTTCAATCCCTGGAGAAGAACACAGTAGCTCCCCACCCATAAATTCTTCACCAAAAGGAAATACAGGCAGTCCTCGATTTACCACTCATAAGCCACTTTTTTGAGTCCTGTTGTAAGCGAATGGGTTTTACGCCGAGGGCTACCTGTGCATAATTTTGACAATGTCACAAGCATGGAAAGTATTCACAGTAGAGTGACACCAACCTGGGCTATTTCCAAAACACACAACACTTCTCCGTCTATGCAAACACCGCTCACGGCTGTTCTGGTGAGTGCCTGCACCGTGTATTGCTCTGTTGAGGGAGAGAAGCGGACATGAGCTGCACTTGTGAAATCGCTCCCGTGTATTTCACACGTGGACCTCCTTCCCTGCTGCCCTGCCCTTCCCCTGCCTAGCCTTTGCCACGTCTGCTGCTGCAACCTCTCTCTCTCTCTCTCTCTCTCTCTCTCTCTCTCTCTCTCTCTCTCTCTCTCTCTCTCTCTCTCTCTCTCTCAGCCAGCCCCTTCCCTCTGAGGCCAGGGGAGAGGAGGGATAACTATTATGATAGTTAATTTCAAGAACACTAACACAATAATTAACAAAGTCAGGCTAGAGTAATAAATGGGTCTTGGGCTGCTTCTTTCGGCAGCATTTGCTTCAACTCAATTGCTTAAGATGTTATTAGGCTCTCAGAGCGGAGATTTACAATGGAGACTTTAATATTCACACTCTTTCAATTAAGAATAATCAGGCTGCCTAAAGGGCATTATGAACTGCAGCCTGTTATTTGCTTTCGGTCTCTTAAGCAGGCACACACATTTGGGGGGGAGGGAAGGGCTCAATTAATTCAGCGCAAAGAGGTCGGATGGAGGCAACATGACGTTTCCCTCATTGGAAATGTAGATTGCGTTTCAGAACACAAAGCGGCCAAGAGCTAGTCCTTCCCCGGATGCCTAGCAGGGAGGGGGGAGGGTAAAAGGCTGGAGAGGCTCACCTGCCAGCGCGGCCAAGTGGGGCAGGCAGAATCGGTTGGCCAGGGCAATTAATTCAAGGGAGTCCAGATCCTGGCTGCAGGACAGTTGCTTGGTGTACAGGTAATCCAGGACGGCTTGCATAGAAGTCTTAGTGATGTTGGGGAGAACAACCTGAAACATTGGGGAAGGTATTTTTAAACATTCAGAGCGAGAAACAATCCAGTCTAGGAGAAAGAGGGCTGTGTTATTTTTCCACCTAGGTCAGCGATGGTGAACCTATGCCACGTGTGCCAGAGGCGGCACGCAGAGCCCTCTCTGTGGACACACGCGCCGTCGCCCCAGCCCCGCTTCCCCCTGCAACCACCTCCTCACCAGCAACCCCCCCGGAGGAGAGTCGGCCCAGGGTGTGGCCCGCGCAGGGCAGTGCAGCCAAGGACATGGCAGCCGGAGCGGGACGGAGCAGAGGCGGGGCGGGGGAGGAGCGGGGCAGAGCGGTTTTTGGGCACTCAGTGTCTAAAAGGTTCGCCACCACTGACCTAGGTTGTACGATATTTAGAAAAAGAGGGGAGGGGGTAGGGGAAGGACTGGCAGAACCTGGGGGTGGTGTTAAAAGAGGACTCAACCTCAAAACTTAGGTAGCCACAAGCAGATTTGGTCAAGGACTTAGACTTAGTTTGCTTGTGGCTATGTAGAGATTCTAGGTTAATCCCTCTTTTAACGCCACCTCCACGTTCTGTTACTGCTCCCCCTTCAGGAGGCTCCTTGTTACAAGGGGAAGGTCAGCCTCCCACTCAAACTAAGAGAAGGGGAGGACAGAGGAGAATAAAAACCTTTCCAGCCTCTGAAAACCAGACTCAGTTTTTCATTCTTGGGACGGTGTGTGTGTGTAAATCCAGTCTTCCCATGAGCTTGGAAATGTACTGTATCCACCTTCAGAGCTAATTATATCATTATTCTTAAAAAGATCTCATCTCCGACCTGCAGAACATTTACTTGGGTCTATGGGAAACTATGCAGGATGAAAATCTACATCAAGACTGGAGACCACCAAAATACAAGCACCCCTGACCCAACGCTACGATGCTCCTTCATGAGTTATAGCTGTTCTTATGGAATGTGTACATACACACACTCTCACGTACAAACATGTTCTGAAGCTTAAGGCTGGAGCTGTAGAAACGGTTCCCCCTGTAAATTTGCGAGACAGCAGGCTTGCTATTTAGCTGATTTACTAAGCCATTGCTCAAAGTCTTGAACGTAAAACTCAGACCTGATTCCCATTAATGAACCTCACTTTCAGTGGAATTGCATGATCACCAAAGGCATCTTGTTCTACTAACAAGCCTGCAATTATTAGAATGAAAAATCTACCCTCCCATCGGGAGGAGCCTTATATTAAATTAATACCACCTTTTCACAATCTTTCTTCTTCTGCATATAATTCTGCTTTCATGTGGTTAGAGTAAAATTGGTTCTTTGGCCTTGCAAAGTATCTTGGCGGCAATTCAGCCCTTTATTGCTTCATTGAGTCATCTTGGCCTCCTGCGAAAGTTTTGCTTCATCAAGGCAATGCACTAATCGGGATCTCATCTTACAAGATGAAACCAAAGATGCTAGCATACCTCTTACCCTCTTTGTGTTCTTTGTGGCAAAATCATTTTCTAGAGACCGTGAGGAAACCCACAGCTCTACACATTTGTAAATTTTAATTTGTAAAGTGTAAATTCGCAAATGGCAAATGGAAAGTCATTTCCAAAACCAGCTATATAGGTACAAACTAGGCAAAACTTGGCTTAATGCCAGTAATTGTGAGAGGGATCTTGGAGTTTTAGTGGTCAATCATTTAAATATGATTGTTTTTTGGGCTGTGGGGCAGCAGCCAAAAAAGTCAGTGCAGTCCTAGGCTGTATTAACAGAAGGATAGAATCAAGATTAAGTGAAGTTCTAGTACTGTTACACAAAGCCTTAGTAAGACCACATTTGGAATACGGCATCCAGTTCTGGTCGCCACAATATAAAATAGATGTTGAGACTCTGGAAAGAGTGTAGAGAAGAGCAACAAAGATGATTAGGGTTGGAGGCTAAAACATATAAAAAACAGTTACAGGAACTGGGTATGTCTAGTCCAGATGTAGGCAACCTTGGCTCTTTTATGACTCGTGGATTTCAACTCCCAGAATTCCCGAGCCAGCCATGCTGAGGGGAAAGGGAGAGGTTTCCAAACTGAGCCATGCTGGCTCAGGAATTCTGGGAGTTGAAGTCCATGAGTCATAAAAGGGCCAAGGTTGCCTACCCCTGGTCTAGTCTAATGAAAAGAAGGACCAGGGGTGACAGGATAGCAATGCTCACATATTTGAGGGGCTCCTACACACTATTTTCCAAAGCATCAAAAGACAAGATGAGAAACAATGGATGGAAACTAATCAAGGAGAGAAGCAACCTAGATCTAAGGAAAAAAATCCTAATGAGAGCAATCAAGCAATGGAACAGGTTGACTTTAGAAGTTTTGGCTTCTGGAGGCTTTCAAAAAAGAGACTGGACAATCATCTATCTGAAATGGTATAGGGTCTCCTGCTGGAGCAGGGGTTTGGACTAGAAGACCTCCAAGGTCCCTTCCAACTCTGTTATTCTATGTTCTATATAATTATAGAAAATGACATGGTTATTTCCATACAGTGGGCAGAGTTGACCTCAACGCCAAGGAGGGTGACAGAATAGATGAAGGTTTTTTATGGAAAGCTCTACACTAAAGTATCCAATTTGGGGGGAACTGATAGATATATTTCAAAATCTGAGGAACTATCATGATGCCAAAACAAAATGGCTGTGCTAGAGGCAAACCTTGGGTGAAACACGTAATGAAACAGTTTGAGGATGAGGAGGAGGAGGAGGAGGAGGAG